AAAAAAAAAAAGAAGAAGGAAAAGTATCTATATTTGCCAGGGATTTGGCTGAGTGATTCCGCCACCTGCTTCGCAAGTGCAAGAGCCTGAGTTCGATCCCTGGTACCCCCCCAAATTTAAAAATATCTGTATTATATGTATAATAGTTAAATGTGGTTATCCTTAGCTGGGATCATGGGCTTTCCTATGGATCAGATAAACTAAAGTAAAAATATGGGGCCACAGTGGATTTTCATATTGTTTTTCAGTATTTATTCTTTCCCCTTGTCTTTGCTCGCCAGTAGAATGTTCCAGAAATTTCATTGGCTATAACGCCTGATTTGGCACTAACTTATTTATGAGTCTGCTTTGAGTGTATTTTCCTTGGGCTTCAATTATATGACCACCATAAACTTTAATTACACTAATTAGACATAGGCAGACGCCTAAGCCCAGTTGGATTCCTAACCCTAGTCAACGGCCTCTGTCATTAGTTTTTTCAGTGACATGATTTGGCATCATTTTCCAACACATTTTCAGGAAATTAGTTTTAAGTTAAAAAAGAACTTGTCTAATAAAGCTACTGACACTCAACTAGTTTCATTACCTTGTTGGAGAACTGGACTTGAGTAAAATATGTACGCTTATGCAATACCTTGTATACCCTTTTCTTTCCATGACTGTGGAGTTTTGGATTAGTTTGGTACCTGGGGAAGGAGTCATGTCCAATCCTCTTGCCAGGCTGATGAGGCCCTGTGTTCATGTCTAGGTTAGGTGGAGCCTGACTTGGCACAGAAGTAGGCAGCAGGTTTTGATGTATGTGCCAACTCTAGCCAGTTGGTGGTATCTATGTAAAGCTCTGTGCTGAGAAGGATTCTGAGGGCTGGACCCAGCAGGCGGGAAGGCAGACTCAGTTTATTCCACCCACCCCGGGCACAGGAGAGGGGTCGTCCAAGGAACACTCCTGCCCTATGTCTGCCATTCCCATTTTAGTAAGGATCTTCGCATCCATGCCTAATGCAAACCTGTAAAAACTCCAAGGCCAGTTAGCAACCTCCAGACTGGACAGGGCTGCAGAGGAGGCATCTTTGAGAGCAGTGGGTGTCAGATTGACAGTCAGGAGCACCCTGAAGGCATGCCAGACCCCATCTTTAGCATTTTTAAAAAATGGGGCTTAAGTAGTAGTATTCCTGTTTTAAAGGATGCTCTAAAAACATGAGCTATGTCTGTTTCACTTAATGTACATTGACACTATTTCAGGACACAGAAAGTGATGCAGTCTGTTTGCCAGGCAAGCACTTGGGAATTCAGGGCCATCGTCTGTTGGTACACCCTGAGGGTTGTGCCAACATTTTTGGTGAGGTTGACTGGTTTACATCCAGTTCCATTATCCCACACCAACATCCATGCTTAGAAGGCGCCCTCTCATGCTCATATACATTTGCTGCCATGCTGCCCACTGCTTAAGGTGCTTGTTGAGTGTCAGCCCTCTGCAGGGCATTTTACATTCATAACTGGTTGAGGTTCGTGGTGCAGGAAAGAGTACCAGGCTTCAGAGCTGTTGTCTAGAAGTTGATGGATTTCTCTCTTGTTAGTTTCCCAAGGTGGCCTTTAGTACTTAGGCACAGCCAAAGGAGCAGAAAGCCACAGCTTCTCTTGAATTTGCCTGTCGTGGGGCAGGGACAAACAGCTTCCTCCCACTCTGGGATGGTATCACAAAGGGAACCAAAAACCCAGAACAATACAGAATATGGACGTGTTGAAGACTGCTAGCCTTTGTGTCAGTTCTTTGAACTAAGAACAATGTAATTGTTGTCATCTTGAATGTAAGACTAGGACAGATTATACAAAGGAGTTTTGCACTGTTTTTGTGACCCATCATTTCCAAATCCTATTAAGGTTAGTGCAGTTATTTCACTATTTCTTTAACAAAGTGAGTTTACAGAATCGTGACAGTGCAGAGACTTATGAAGACTATGTTTAAATGTTTGTTGTTATCCCCCTTGCCCTCTGTCTTGCAGAGTCTCGAATATTCAGCAGCAGCTGGCCCAGCTTGCAAACGAGTCGTGGCCGGGCATGGCCGAGGCCGACAGGGACCGGCTGCAGCTCATCAAAGAGAAAGAGGCCCTGCTTCAAGAGCTGCAGCTCATCATTCAGCAGCGGAGGTCAGCTGAAGACATGTCCCGGCTAGAGGAAGAGAAGCGACGCTTGGAGGAAGAGATCCAGCGGGCGCGGGCCACATCGGCACAGGGTGCCACGGAAAGGTGGGCTGGTGTCCAGAGATTCAGGGGCAGGTGGGACACAGCTTCCAGTGAAGAACTAGCTGGAAAAGCTAGATTGGATGTCTTATATATGGCTTGAGCATGTTCTTGATTATTACAGGTCAAGTATCCCTTATCTGAAATGCTTGGGCCCAATAGTGTTTCCAGTTGTGGCATTTTCTTAAAGTTTGGAATATTTGCAAAGAATCAAATCTGAACATCTAAAATCTGAAAGCACTGTAAAAGTGTGGGATTTTGAATCATTTCAGATTTTAGATTTTAAAATTAGTGATGTTCAGCATATACTGAGAGCAGCTACTTGCCAAGTAGAGGAGGAAGCATGTACCTTCTGTGCCACAAGAGGTGCCTGCTGCTCCCCAGGGATCCCAAGTCTCCTGGTGCCTGCTCAGAAGTGGGAGATGATTGAGAAGCAGGAAGGAGTGAGGAAGGCAATGATCTACCACCGATCTGTATCGTTCCTGCCATAGGTGCTTGATGCTTTTGCCTGTATTTGTTTAGACTTGGTATCAGCAGGAAGATGGGGAGGCAGGTGATGGTCCAGCTTTGTGGCCTTGGTGAAGTGGTCCCCATAGTATTGTGGAAGTCCCCTATCTCCAACTTTGATCTCTAGCCAGAGAGGGCTGCTCTTTCTTTTGCAGGAGGAAGTTGGCAGCCTGTTATAGGTCTGTTTCTGAATGTGCCTCTCCTCTGTTGGTCTTCAGACTGTTTCAAGCATAGATACTACACTTGATCTTAGCCAAAAGGCCGAGAAGTGATATAGAACACATGAAGTCAGTGTCTTTAGTATTCTTCAGTGCCAAGTTGTTCAGCCTTTCATCATGTGCCACATCTCTTGGTTTCCATTTGCCTCCTGCAGTTGTGGATGGTGTCGAAGGCTATGTCTGCTTTCCATATTTAACAGCTGTCAGCAGTTTATCTATGGAGCTTGGCCGAGCTTTGGAGAATCCATACCCCATTTGTTAATATCCTGGCTTCCTAAAATTCAGTGCATTAACATGACCATAAGCTGCACCACCATGAGCATTCTTTATCTAGATTTTAAGTCACTGGGATTACTTGATGTACACAAATGCACTTAGAAGTAATATTTCATCACATTTTACGACTGCTCTTGGTATTTATTGGGCATCTTTATGCTTGGCTGCCATGAACCCTGAGTACCATGCTGCTGCCCTGTCCACCTATGTATCAACCATTTATGATGCACCAGGCATTCCTCCAAATGCCAGGGATGTATTTTTTCAAACAAGGCAAGAGCAGTCTTAATTGGCACTTAGGACCTTGTCTTAGTTACCTTTTCTCATTTCTGGGAGAAAATACTCAACACTCAAGGTTAAAAGAAAAAAGTTATTTTGCTCACAGTTTGTAGAGGTTTCAGTCCATAGTTGGCTGGCTCTAAGGCAGGGTGGCATGGCAGAGGGGCATCCCAGAGGAGGAACAGTTTATGATGGGCAGAAGGCAGCAATGCAGTGAAGTAGCAAGGAAGCAGCAAGTAAGCAAGAAGCAACAGCAACAACCTTTTTTTCTGTCCCTTATATTCTATCCAGGCTACATACCCTTAGGGTGGTAGTACTGACACTCAGGGTGTGCCTTTCCATTATCAAAACCTAGAACTATGACAAGCCAATCAATGGACTAATTTAGTAATCACACACTTAATTCCAGCATCACATACCCTAGATCCAGCCAACTCCCCAAACTCCTACCTATGAGTACATGAGGCTTTGCGGGGACATCTAGATACAAGTCATAACAAACCTAGATGCTTTTAGCATTGGTGGTCATTCCAACCCATATCATTTACAGGGATTTTGTAGTTGAATTTCTTTTTTGTGAAAATATATTCCCCATACTGTATTTCAAATCTACCAATTGATTATTTTCTTACCTGCAGGATTCTACTTCAGGAAAAGAGAAATTGTCTACTTATGCAACTAGAAGAAGCCACTCGCTTAACTTCTTATCTCCAGTCCCAGTTAAAAAGGTAGGTTACTGTAGAAGAGAAAACCATACTTAATTATCATGTTACAATGACATGTGCATGAATTTTAGCTTGGATTTTCTCCTGCCGGAATTTGCAACCTGAAGTGACGTTAAAACAAAGAATGGAAGAGTAGATACAATGTATTTGTAAGAAAACCTGCTAACGTATGACCCAGGGAAAATGAGGGAAACCAAATTTGACTTCAGAATAAATAAGTCTTAAATCAAGTTTTATAAAAGGATACATAATCTAATACCTTCAGAAGTGTTCATATATGCACATTTTTATTTTGGAGGTTTTTGTAAAGGATATGAATATTTTTAAGTGTAGTTTGGATGCTTACTAACAGCTCACCTTTTCAGGTACTTACTGTATTGTGAAGCATAGTGTTGAGGGCCTTATACGGATTACTTTCTCAGGTATTCCTCCTAAAAGAGTGCAGAGGTAGGATCTGTTATTATCCCATTCCCCAGTAAGTGCAAGCCTTGGAGATGACCCATTAACTTGACTGAGTATGCTCAGCCAGTCTGCCTTTGAGCCAGAACTCCAACCCAGGCATGAGTCTGCTGTTGCTCTGTGCCCCCTAATTTCATCGAGAAAAACACAGGAGATGCCAGTAAAGGTCTGCCCAAATGCATGCAGTGGTCATAGATAATACAGGGGTTTGCTGTTCCTACCACGTGTGTTTCTAACACCTGATCTCTCTTCTTTCAGTCTGTCTGCCAGTACTCTGACTGTGTCCTCCGGGAGCAGCCGCGGGTCGCTGGCCTCCAGCCGGGGCTCGCTGGCCTCGAGCCGAGGTTCCCTGAGCTCGGTCAGCTTCACCGACATCTATGGCCTCCCGCAGTACGAGAAGGCCGATGCTGAGTGCGGCCAGCTCCTGCGCTTTGATCTGATTCCCTTCGACACCCTGGGACGGGATGTCCCCTTTGCAGACCCACCTAGCCACTCAGGCTTCCACAAGCAGAGGCGGTCCCTAGACACCCCCCAGTCCCTGGCATCGCTATCTTCCCGTTCCTCCCTGTCTTCTCTGTCACCCCCCAGCTCGCCCTTGGACACGCCCTTCCTCCCAGCTTCGAGGGACTCACCTCTGACGCAGTTGGCAGATAGTTTTGAGGTGCCAGGCCTGGGTGCTCTAGACAGACTGCGAGCACAGGCCTCTGCCCTGGGGGATGAAGATTTGCAGGGCCCAGCGCCACTTCAACCACATGGATTCCCTGGGGACACAGAAGGCCCACGTGAGCGGGGACCCCCAGGGGCCGGAGCCCCTGCCACTGGATGTAAGTGGTGTTGAGACCACCCCTTTAGAGGCAAAGTCTGAAATCCAGGAAACGTATTGTATGCAGTGGCACTGGGGCTAGTGGCTCCTCACATTCCCAGTGAGCTGGAAGTTTAAGAACATGGACAGGGTTACGAGGGGACCACACCTACTCTAGTCTTTCCTGTGTGTGTCAGGGAAAGATATTCACCATTGACAAAGTGTCTTTCCCAGTTATTTGGCTTGTTTTAAGTACGAACTTAACCTTTGAAAATGAGTCCTCCACATTCAGAGGCTGATAAAGAGGTACGAGGGTTTAATGAACTCTGTAGGCTGTGTGCCAAGGTGGCACATTATGTGTATGTCCACCCCAGAGAGCAAATGACTCGTGTCTGCTTATAGTTCAGTGGGAATCTCTGCTTTGCCAGTTTAACTTCATCTCTTTATCCTCTGTCCTTGTAGTTTTAAAGATGTAAGTCTTATCAATTGTGGAAATGATAATAGTTGCATAATTTCAAAAGACATACCAGTAAGTATCAATCATCTGTCCCAATCCGGTGTCTCTGGTGGTCTACATGGAGAACCCCTGGCAACATGAAGCTTCCTCTGACCAATTGCTTGAGTTTAGCTCCTCCTAGGTGCCAGGGTACTGTTTGGGAGAAAAATGACTTTTTCAAGCCAACCCCCAGCAAGTTTTAATTTCCTTAGTTTGAAGAACAATGTCTCCCATTCCTGAAGTTCAGCCTATTTAATCAACTTTTATTTGCACAGCAAAAAATGTTTTAGGCATTCAACTTCAGCAAATGCTAGATAATTTGTATAGCATAGTGGCTATCCACCAGCGGTCTTTTTGTTCCTTGCCCTAGGGACATTTGTTAGTGTCTGAAGACATCTTAGGTGTCACAACTGGAGTGGGGGTACTACTGTCATCTAGTGGGGTAGAGAGTGGCCAGGGATACTGCTAAACATAATACAGTGCATAAAAGATCCAGTCCAAAATATAAGTGGTGCAGAGACTGAGGAGCCCTAGAAGCCTACTGTGGAGTATTTATGCACCCAAGGATAGAAATAGAACTGGAATACAAAACCAGTGTGGTGTAGAGAGAACAGCTTCAGGCTCGCAGTCTGGAGCCCAGGATTCTGTTCCCTGTCCTTTTGACTGGTAGTCCTGTAACCTTGAGCCGCCTCACCTTCCCTGCCCTAGAAGGAGGTGATTTTTATGGTCTCTCCATTTGCACCATTCTGTTACCTGTGATATGGATTGACTGATGGGTGGAAAAGCCAATTGATCTTTAGATTGACATATCTGTAGAACAGTAATCTGCTAATATTTACATGTTTACCCAGAGGCCAGTATTTTCTGGAGCTTTCCCATGACTTTTTGGCATCTCTGTTATTTTGATGTCTATATTTACAAGCACACTTTCCTATCCCTAGATACATTGCTTCTGTAACTTCACATATACAGGTAGCTTTCATTTCCTTTGTTCTAATAACTGGTGCATTGTTCTATGTTTATTCCTTTTATTCACAATGAAAGTGCACAGTAAGGACTGAATTGAGCATCTGTCATTGCTTAAACTTGAAACTTTGCTCTTTAGTCTGTCTCCCTCTTCTCCTACTCAGTAGTTTTTCCTCTAAATGTTGAGATACAAGAATATCAGCCTGGTTATGCAGAAAATCTACACAAGGTCCATGGACCCCTTTGGGCCAGGAAAGACAGGGTGGGAGGGAGAAGAGTTGATTTAATTTCTGATCCCGGTTCCTTTGGTTTTCCTTCCCACCCTGTGGCAGACATTGAAATGGTTTCAACTTAGACTGAGAAGTATTTGCTTGGTCTGCGTTTAAATACTGCCACCTGTTGGTGTATTCCTGCCTGACACTGTCAGTTGACTGAGTCAGCGTGTCCCGCTGTGTGCTCCCAGCTATCTGGGTGGTATAACCAACTTCAGGCATGGACATAGGGAACTTCACCCTCCTGGGAACTCCTGAGCCCAGGGTTTTCATGGCTTCATAAAGGAGGAGCTTGGTGCTCATCCAGTTACCCTCACCCCATCATTTATCCTTGACCAGTGCCATGCAGTTCCCGCCACCTTTTCAGTCTTGCTAGAAAAACAGCACTGTTTCACCCCAGGCAAGTTTTAGTAAGATCAAAATTTAGGAAGATAAAAATCAAAATTGCCCAAGCCCTCAAAGCAGTGATTTCTTCCACTGTGATTTAAATCAAATCATAGGGAACAGATGTCAGATCAGAGAAGTGGGTCAACAGGCTATAACCCTGAACATTTTTTTACGTTTTGCTGGTGTTATCTTCTCTGGGTTTTGAAACTCAAATGTGTCATGGTTTTGAAATACTTTCCTATTTCATCTAGCTATTATTAACTGCTTATCAGAATCCATAAAAATCTTGACTTTGTCCCTCAATTAATTCATTTTATTACAGTGATACTCTGTTTAAAATTGTTAACTGAAATTCTACAGTGTTTTCACTTTGTGCTTTTTTATCTCTTTTCTCATGCGGCTCTACAGAAACATTCACTGTAAGTGGCCTTGGGATCCTCATTCCCTTTTGTGGCTCAGGCTGTGGGCAAATCTGTGTGGTGAATCCATGCTGACGGCTGGGGTGTACTTATCAATTGTCATTATCATTATTATTTCAACAGTAATATTCACAAGAGCTACTAACGTCATGTAAGAACTGTTCCAAAAGCTTTCACTATTTTTCCTCCATACATATTTTTTTCCTCCAGAATTTAGTGGCATTCATTATTTTAATGTCAGCTGGAAGCTTTGCCCACAATGTGGTTTTCGTTGTATTTCCTTCCTTTTTATCAAGCAGTGTTCATGCCTTTGGGTTTTGCTGTCTGGCTGGCTGTCTGTCTTGAAGGGTGAAAAAGTCAGAGACTTCTTAAGTGAATGTGTAGAAGAATGTGTATTCCTTGCTTCTTCAGCATTGCTCGCTGTGGTTGTCTCATTGCCTAGAAGCTCAGTGGTGGATGTCTCAGCTGTTCCTTGCTGTGGGCTGTTCCTTGCTGTCTTCACACCCAGGGCAGTGCTGCTGCTCATGTCCCAGTGACTCCTGCTTCCGGTTGCTCCCTGAGTTCAGTGACTTGGCCTTTGATCCACGAGGAGGAGTTCTTTGATTTCCCTCCTCTCTTCATGCATTCCCATTGTCATGAGGAGAGAGAAGTTTGGTCAGAGTTGCACCGTCAGATACAGTTACAAGGAGTGCTTAGGATTGTTACCTAGGGCTGTGTCCTTAAAGGGACTTATTTTTATCTGTCTATCTACCTATCTTCATTTCTATTTGTGGTACTGGGGGTTAAACTCAGGGTCTTCATACTGAGCTACACTCCTGACCCTTTTTGTATTTTTTGGACAGAGTCTTGCTAAGTCACTAAGTTTCCCAAGCTGGGATCAAACTTGTAATCCTTCTGCCTCAACCTCCCAAAGTACTGGGATTATAGCTGTGTACTACCATACCCTGCTCTTAAAGGAATTTAAGAACTTTTCCTAGTTTTAGGACTGAGAATGGAAACTGTAATTGGTTTCATTTGCTGGAAATTGATGCAACACACTGGAAGGTTCCATTTTTAGTTTAGGGCCATGAGTTTGAAATCCGTCACACAGCAAGGGTGAAGAAAAGAGCTGGACTTCATTGTCCTGGCCTTCATTCTGAGACTTGGTACCTCCATCTAACTCAGGATGGAGCCAGCCTCTGTCCCTGGTTGACCAGGACAGGAGCAAATACACCTCCAGGCTTGGCATTGCAGACCTTTGGAAGGCTAGCTTTTGTCTCCAGTTGACATAGATAAATCAAAGACCATACCCTTGTGTGTGTTTGTTCTGTGTGCTGTTTAATGTGTTTAGATTTAATTGGTGTGAATTATTGGTTGAAAACAGAGATGGATGCCTTTGGGCTTAGCATTTCCCTCAATTTAGGAATGTACAGATATCAAAAATTTTAATTGAAAGAGCCTAGATGGCCAAAGAAAAGTATAGGGCCATAGACAAACCTGTATTATTAGCAAGAGGCCTCATGATATCAAAGCAGTGTTTAGTTTGGGGCTTTATATTTTATTCTGTATTTAGTGTACTTCTCTATAAAACAGAGTCTCCTGTGTACATAGTCACATTTCACATAGAAAGATTCTATGCATATTTTATATAAAGGAACTTATTGCTGTGAGGAAAGGGACAGAAACAGTGAAATGTTGGAAGGCAAAATTTCAGTGATGATCTTTGGCTTGTGAGTAAAATAAGTAAGGAAGCAAAAATAAACTGTCTGGGAATGGTACCCAGGAAAGCAGTTCTGGAAGGCAGTCTCATCCCAGGGCAATTAGGAAAGATACTGCAGTCAGGGAGATGGATAAGTGTGCACGGCAGTGCCCTCCCTGTGAGCTGCAGGGCTCCAAGGATCTGTTTGCAAAGGATTAGTCTATGTTCAAATGTGCTCTCTGATTTGGAAGTCGTTAAATTTTGTTAGGGTGTATTTAGGTGATTAAACTTTTTTTCTATTACAAAAGCAATATGATGTATGTTTATTGTATAAATGTGGAAAATACCAAGCAGCATAAAGAAGAGAATGAAAATTACTACCCGTCTGGGAGCACAGTGTTGTTCTTTTGGGTGTGAGAGTCTTTATTAAAGTGCTGTATGCTCATTAAGGGGGTGAAAAGCAATTTATGAATCCAAGTGTCTTTCTAGACAGTTTAACAGCTTTCAGAGTAGCCAGCAGCCTGTTTTTTCTGTTTTTTCAGTATTAGAGACAGTCGTGCATGGTGTTCTTTATGCGTATGTACACATCATCACGGCATGTCTCTGGGACCCTTAGTGACTTAGCAGGGCTCTGCTGGAGAGGTTGTGGCCTCCTGTGCCATCATCGTCTGACTTAGGTGTGTCCCTTATTTGCAGCAGTGACTCTCCGGGAAGACAGCGCCAAGAGACTGGAGAGAAGAGCGCGCCGTGTCTCTGCCTGCCTTTCGGATTACTCACTTGCAAGTGATAGTGGAGTATTTGAACCTTTAACCAAAAGGTAAGGAGCTGAGCCTTCTTTTACTGTTTATTTCTATTTCTGTTAGTACGCCTTCACTGTGGGCTGTTGGTACTGCTACACCAGACGTCTTAATTCTTTTCTCGTCCCTCCCCGCTTCCCCTCCCATCATTCTTGATCCCCTTCCCTTTTGCAAAGAATCTATCTCATTGTTTCATAATATCTTTTTTTCCTCTCTGTTTATACTTCGGGTTTCTCATATGAAAGAAAACATGTAATATTTAAGCTTGTATGTAATATTTCACTTAACATTATGGTCTCAAGGTACATCCATTTTTTTCTACCAATGGCTCAGATTTATCCTTTGCTATGGCATCTTATTCCCTTCCCCGCAAGCTGACAACACAGTATTCCTGTTATGCACGAAGAAGATCCATCCGGAAGCTTTTATATATTGACACTTTGTGTATCCAGGGGTATAAAGTAGTTTTCGAATTCTATCAATTTGGAGAGGTTGAGGTTTAGAACCCTGCCAAGAATACTCCTTGGTTTCTGGGTGGCATTTGAAGGCTGGCTGTCATTCTGTTCTAGGGTGACATTTTTCTCTCTGGCCCTGGATGTATTAAGGCTGAAGCCCAATAAGACTGAAAAAGGAGAATAGTGTATGTGAGGTAGAGACTCTTGCTTTTTTACAAAGATGTTCCCTAGAAATGGATTTCCTGCCTCCCTTCTTTCCTGAGTTAGAGAAATAGCCTTACAATTAAAAACAAAGCAAAACAACAAAACTTTGGAACTCTGAGCTTGCTTTCTCCCTCAGTCTCTCTCTTTCTCCCCCCTTCCCCCATCCTTCCTCCCCCCGCTTCTTTCTTTTTTTTCCTGCAATACCTATGAAGCCATTGCGTCTTTGTACCTTTGTAAGGTTCAGGTAACCCTGAGACATTTCAGTTACTGTTAACTTTTTTGAAAGCTAACTTTTGAATGTTGCCCGGCATATCACATGGAATGCAGAGTTATTTCATAAATCAAAGCAAAACATAAACAACATAAAGAAGAAACAGTCGTTTATAGGCAGATACCATGGCTCCTGGAGACCCGCCATGCATGCCTTTACAGCAGCCTAGTGGGCATTCTTGTTTAGTTCTCTTTGGTGCCATTCTTCTGGGTAAGTGCACAAGCCACGTGACTGGTTCCCTCTGAAATGAACCGGGTGCATTTCCTGTTCTGTTCAGGAATGAAGAGGCTGAGGAGCCTTCTTGTGCAGACTCCTGCAGTATTGATGAGCCTCAGATCCACGTGGGATTTCTGTGAGTACCAAGCCCCTTCCCTGTTGCTCCTAAAGATACCCTGTGGATGGGCTTCACTTCGTGGTACCCACCTCCATGTGTAGGCCAGGTGAGGTGGAGGGGCCCTGTGACCTAAGTGCTGCTCCTTCACCTTTGTCCAACTTCAGTGGGTCTTAGGTGACAGAGGTGGCAGAAGGCAGTGATAGAAAAGTGTCTGTGTTACCTCATGGTGCTGAGGCTTGGGAGTCATAATGCAGTGAGTACTGAAAGCCCCGACTAGCTCTTGGGGACTTTTTTTTTTTACCATTTCTGCCCGTGCTGATTGTATTGTTCACTGCAGGACAGACAATAGGGTCCCTGTCATCCCCGAGTGAGTTATCTGGTTGTTTGGTCTCTAATTACAATTCCAGTTTAGGCACTCGCCATATTGTTCACAGCAGCAGGGCAGGAGGTTAAGATCCTTGTGATTTTCTTTGACTTCCTCTGTTTATTCTAGTCCCTGGTTTTAGGGTTGACACTGTTAGCCTTTGGAGCCAGATGGTTTTGTGCTCTGGGATATGTCTTTTTCAGTAGCATCCCTAGCCTCCACCCGCGGATGCCAGGGCACTCCCTTCCCCTCCAGTGTAACAGTAAACAGTGTTTCCAGACAGTGACATGTCCCCTGGGGGTAGGTAGGTTGGGGCAAAATCCCCCCTCAGTTAATGGCCACTGCTGCTGACCAGTCAGGGGGCTTTGCCATTGTGGGGTATTTGCGGTCCATGATCTCCAGGTTTATTTTCTAGACACGACAGTGCCAGCGAATGTCTCCTTGTGCACGTGCTCCAACTGAGGAACTTTGCCAGGCTGGTGATGAGAGAAGACTACAAAATGTAAGCTTCCGGGCTGGGGGACAGATAGTGGTCACCTCCTTTGGGCCCCCTCCTCCAGACAGCATGCCACCTCTCTGCTTGGCGGTTTGGGGAAGGAAAACCCTTTGGGAACCAGAATTGACAGTAAAACAGCGAATGTCTATCTGAAGTATAAAGGATTCTAAGTTTTAAAAAGAGCCTAGTTGATTATTGAAGGCAGATGAAGTTAACAGAACCAGGTGAGTTCTGTGCTGTGTTGATACCAAAGAAGTGCCTGTTACAGGCAGTATTGGGGCTTAAATTGTCCACCCAGGTCCCAGGGATGGGCAGTGACAGCATAGGCCTACTTGGCTCTTTGAACCCAGGATGTGTGTTACAAGGCCTCTGGCTGGGATTACGGCGGGAGGGAGTCTTTGGCTGAGGACAGAAGCAGGAAATGGGAGTTAGGACTCTTGAGAGTCCCCTGGTGACCTTGCCCTCAGTAGAGTGATTGCTACTTCCCTGCATGGGCCCAGGTGGGCGCCTCCTGGTGGGTCCCATTTACCCAGCTAGGTGACTGCCCAAGGGTATGACTCTGCCCTCAGCCCCAAATTCCGTGGGTTTTTTTAAAGGCTTAGGCCTATCATAAGGAGCTTAGGATCTCACCCCAATGATAATGTTGCAATGGACACAAATGTTCGAGACTGCCTTTATGGCAAAATACAGGCTTGGGGTAGAAACAGCAGCAAGCACAGCACCATATCCTTGTAGGTGATAGGCTGACAAGCTGGCGGGAGGAGCTGGGAGGAGAAGGCCAAGGAGCTCTTGCCACAATATGGTGACCAAGAAAGCAAAGCAGTCCCTGGAGCCTTCAGACCTTGAAGTCTTCCTCTTGAGGACTGAGTCCTCCTCCCTCCCCAGTATCTGGAGGGCAGGTCGGTTAGTTCTTTGGGCTTACTCCTAGTTGACGTAGAACTTTTCCTAGTAGACTCTGAACTTGTCCCCATGGACATACAAAGAGGGCACCACATGTGGGTGTGCTTTGGTGACACGTTGGTGTCACGAGCACAACCTACCAATGCTTTTCCTCCTCTCTGCTGCCAGCCACATCCGCGTCTATCTGCCCCCACTCGACTCTGGCACTCCCAATACCTACTGCTCCAAGACTCTGGAATTCCAAGCCCCGCTGGTGTTTAACGAAGTGTTCAGAATCCCTGTGCATTTCAGCATGTTGACAGTGAAGTCACTTCAGTTATATGTGTGCTCAGTGAATCCTCAGATGCAGGAAGAATTGCTGGTATGGCTCCCTGGCTCGTACTCCCTCCCTTTTCTCCCCTTTGTGTTTGTCTCCGCTTCAGTGCCCTCCCTTCCTTTTCTTTCCCTTTCTCTCTTTTCCTCTTCTTTTCTTTTTTATTCTCTCTTCTCATTCTTTCCTTTCCCCATGTCTTTTCTTTCTCTTTGTATTTTATTCCTATGTCATTTTTTCTTAGTTTTTGTCTTTCTGCCTCCCTCCCTTCCTCTCTTTTCTTTAACATATGTCTCTGCTTAGAAACTCTACTAGTGTTAAGTGCTGTCTATAGCTGAGAGGGCACAAAGGGATGAGTGAACCAATCCTCTTCTCAAGTGTTGTAGTTTAAGTGTATTGTCTCAGTACTTGCAAAATCTCAGTGAGATAGCTTCCACCCTATCCCCATTGTCCATTGAGGACTTATTAGGCGAATAAAAATGCAGGCTACCAGTTAAATTTGAGTGCCATTTTTAGTATAAGTACACCCTATGCCATATGTGACACTCACATATTATAAACCTGGATGCCCTACATTTTGTCTGGAAGCCTAGGACTAGGCCTCCAGAGAAGAGAGGAAGTGGTCAGTTTTCAGTGCCCAGCTGTCCAAGGCCAGGCTAGGACTTGGCGTTCAGGGAAGTAGGAAGTATAGCGTTCAGCCAGCCAGCCCTTTCTCAGGTTCAGAAGTTCCTGAACGAATCAGTGGCTCATCGAGTGACAAAGCCCTGAGCTGCACCTAGCACCCCAAGTTGTCATTCTCTACCCCTGTCCCTTTTCCAGCATTTTCTGATTGAGCAAAACAAGCAACCAGGGAGCCACCCCTCCTCTCTTAGCCTCCTCCGGGATGGCCAGAGGATGGGGTTCAAGGAGGTCCTCATCTTGCCTCTCCACAGGGTAGGTTCTTCAATTCTCCTCACAAGAAATCATTGCAGTGTGCATGAGTGAAAGGCATATAGCAGATTTATTAGGCAAGTGAGAGCCGTCTTGTTGAATGGATTTGGGGGCATGTATGTGGTCCTGGAAGTATCCTTTAGGATGGATGATCTAAGGTGTTTTTCCTGAAGATATTCTTTGAATCCCCTGAGTCCATTTGTTTATCTTAAGGTCAGGTTGCTGCCCTTTACCTTATCAACCAGGTTAACTCATGAACTTACAGCATCTTTAATGCATTTGTATATGATGGGTCTGGAAGAAACCAGCCAACCTAGAGAACATAAGCACAGGGAGTAGGGAATATCCGTTTGGGTAGCCTTGTGTGGCTTTGATCCTACCTTAGAGCTCTAGATTTCTTGTCTCCTCTACCTGTCTTCATTTCTTCTTTCCTGCCTCAAGGCACTTTTATTGTACTACAGTCCTTTTAGTAGGAATGAAATAGTTATGTCTTAAGATTGAAGGGTGAACTTGATATTTTACAGGACTCCCGTGAAGCTGAAATCATTCAATGCTTGTTCTGACTTTTCTTCTCAACTCCTGTGCAGGGCATTGCTCAGATAAACTTGGCTGACTATGACAGTTCAAGCGACATGCAGCTGCGCTGGTACCCAGTACAGGTCTTTGCCAGCTCCGAGCCACCCAAGACAAAGGAGAATGGGCGTTCAGGCAATAGTGCCACCCAGGACCCTGTGCATGTCAGCTCCGGGACAACGGTACTGGGCCCTACTTTATGGAGCCAGTATTTTGTGGCTGCTTTTGTGACTTTGAAACTGGCTTTTACTTGGGGAAATCATTTCTAAGGTTCATGTACACTTAAAGCCAGAAAATAGTGGCAATAAAGAAATAGCGCCTCAGAGGAAGTAATAAAAATATCCATGTATATGGCCATTTCATGACAATGCCATTTTCCCCCAGTACTGCGGATTGAACCTAGGGCCTCACACACGCTAGGCAAGTATTCTCCAACTGACCTACATTTACAACGTTGTTAAATTTTATTTTGAGACAAGGTCTCACTGAGTTGTCCATGTTGGCCAATTGGCAATCCTCTTGCCTTAGCTCCTGGAATAATTAGGATTACAGACATGCACTACTGTGCCTAGTATGATAATGCTTTTTAATGCCCATGTGTTGGCGAATTGGTTATCTCCAAGTTTTCATCCTCAGAACTGTATGACAGGTCTTGCTGTGCAGGTGGCTGGGTTCTGCCACACAGGGCCATGAAGGCATGTGCGAGTCCACTGTGGGACAGATGCTAGCTGCGGCATGCATACAGCGCCTGCCATCTGTTTTGCACCCCAAGCTGGTGGGCTGTGCTGGTTCTCAGAGGCACCCTTTTCTGCTGCAGGATGCAGTGACAGCGCTGCTGGCCAGAACCACGGCCCAGCTGCAGGCAGTAGAAAGAGAGCTGGCTGAGGAGCGTGTGAAGCTGGAGTGCACTGAGGAGGGTATCCTGGAGATCCAGCGGAAGGAAGAGCAGGCCGAGGCTGTGTCCGAGAGGTGAGTGCCCAGCCCAGGGAAGGGCTCCGAGCACTTTCCACCACATCTGGATGATGATGATGCTTTTCTTTTTCTTTTTTGTGGTACTGGGGATTGACCCAGGGCCTTTACCATCAGCTACATCCCCAGTCAATTTATTTTATTTTATTTTTTTAAATTTTGAGACAGGATCTTGCTGGGTTGCCAGGCTGACCTTGAACTTGTGAGTCTCCTGCCTCAGCCTCCTACAGCGCTAAGATTAAAGGTGTGCGCCATCATGCCCAGCTGAGGCAGTGTTTCTTGGGGCGAGGCTGCCCAATGTGAGAGTTGGTCAACAGTCTCTCTCTTGGAAGGAGCTGCGCTTTTGGGTTCAAACAGCTTTTCTCAGTCATACCTCTGTAGAATGTGCTAGGCAACTCTTTGGTAGCATTACTCATGAGCCAGGACTCTGGGGCAAATGTCATGCTGACCTGATGGCAGTGATGCCTGAGCTCTCTGCTTCAAGGCCCTAGGAAGGCTTTACCCCTTTTCTTTCATTTCTGGAAGTTCTGTTCAAGAGCCGGCCTGTTGAGTGACTCTTTTCCACCAGGATGGAGTGCAACAAGATCCTCTTAAGTTATTTTCTCAAATTATTTTATTTTTTAAAACACAGAGGTCCTTACTCATTTGCATTTTGATGTCCACATAGGCAATAAAAATGGAATTATATCTACCCAGTGATGAGAAATTTGTGGTAAATAGCACCACACATGCTATCACTCTCTCTGACCATTTAGATGTCTGTGATTAGAAATAATCCACTTTTTCAAAGCAGCCTATTAGCCAGTCTCAACAGAATCCTTCAAAGCATTTCTACCTGTCAGATTTAGTGCTTGAGATTTCAGGACTAGCTCATCTTGTTTAATCCTTTTTTGTTCAGTTTGCATAAAATATGTTTGTATATCTATGCCTTAAGGTTTGTCTACACATAGTTATTTCCAAACTCTTTTTTTTTAGGGATGCAATTTCTCTCTTCCCCATGCTATTCTTTGTGGTATCTCTGCACTAAACAGATGTTGTAATAACGATGATGGAAACAGTTAACATTTAATTATTTTGGTTTAATTCAACCATCTCTGGGGAAGTAATAGCTCAGACATTAAGAATAAAGGTGTAGGAAAGGTGGGATGGGGAGGGGAGGAGTAAAAAGGGAAAAGAAAAAAATGTGAGAGAATGAAAAGATGAAAATAAAGTGTTTGTAGATGAGGAGGGGAGGAGGGGGTGAAGGGAGGGCAGAGGTAAGGGGAAAAAATGAGAATCAAGACTTGTCATGTAGAGGTACAAGATCCCAACAATGAATGTAACTGTACTGTATCCCTAAAATGTACCAATAAACTCAATTAAAGCTGAAAAAAAAAAAAGAATATAGGCTCTGAGCCAAGCGTGGTGGCACATGCCTATAACCCTAGCACTCTGGGAGATTGAGGCAGGAGAATTGATACACACACCACACACACACACACACACACACACACATACATATATATATGCTCAGAAGGCAGGTAGGTGGTCCTGGTTCTAATCCAGGCTCTGCCATTTATCAATAATGTATCCTTGTCCTAGTTTCTCCATCTATAAAACAAGAACAGCAATGTGCCTTAACTCTTGGTGTTATTGCAGTTCGATAATACATACCAAGCACTTAGCACACACACACACACACACACACACACACATACATATATATATGCTCAGAAGGCAGGTAGGTGGTCCTGGTTCTAATCCAGGCTCTGCCATTTATCAATAATGTATCCTTGTCCTAGTTTCTCCATCTATAAAACAAGAACAGCAATGTGCCTTAACTCTTGGTGTTATTGCAGTTCGATAATACATACCAAGCACTTAGCACAGTGCCTGCTTCACGGAAAGACAGACCTTCCATTTAATAAAAGGCCTTGAAGCGTCATCTTCCCTAGAAAGCAGAAGTGCCCTTGTACTTTATGAGAACAGCAACTGTCTTCAGTTATTGGAAAGGAACAGGTTTTATCTGGTGCTTCTGCTACTGAGCTTCAAAAACGACCAGGAAAGAAATCCCTCTGAGGAACATTCTGTGGGCATTTGCATTGTCACCTTTAGGAGCTGGCAGGCTGACTCAGTTGACAGTGGCTGCAGCAACTGCACCCAGACCAGCCCCCCATACCCAGCAGAGCCCTGTGTTGCTGTCAACTCCATTCATGGACACAAGTTTGCTGGCCAGACAGATCCCTACTGTCCCGAGAAACGTCAGCTCCCACCTATTAAGGTAAGAAGAAAACGTCAGGAGATTCCTCAGAGTCCCCCGACATTTGAAAGGAGTAGCCCTGCAAGGAGAGGAAGTGTGCTCCCAGGTCTATCATGGGAAGGGGAGAGAATAGGCAGAGGAGTAACATTTAAGGGAACAAAGAGGAGTGGCTTTGGCTCTCCCTGGCTGCTGTATTGAGAACAAATTGGAGGGGCACCAAGGTGTGCAGTTGAGAAGAGTAGAGAGAAGCCCACTAGATGATAGTGACTCAGATGAAGGGTTAGTGACAAGTAGTCGCAGGCCACTTAATACTGAGCCAACAGGATTTCCCCTAGGACCAGATATGGGGTGTATGAAAGACAGAGTCCATGATGCCACTGGGATGTTTTCTCCATGAAGAGAAAGTAGAAATCCTTGTCAAAGGCTCTCCATCAGGTAGGGGCCGTCTCAGCCATTCAGTCCTGGATGCCTTAGGTGTGATACACAAGCTAGACCTGCAAGTGGAGAAGTGGGAGAGACAGTGTCCACACTAACTTTGCTGCTTGTGTTATGGGGTAAGTTGTGGTAATAAATGAACTACTCTGTAGGTTGACAAGGAAACCAACACAGAAGATCTCTTCCCAGAAGAAGCGGCAAGCATCCTGAAGGAGCGACCCGGACGCCGGGCCCGTGGTTCGCCTTTTGTTCGCAGTAGTACTATTGTCCGTTCTCAGACTTTCTCGCCCGGAGCACGAAGCCAGTATGTTTGCCGAGTGAGTACAAATAAATTCCTTTGCCACTTGTCTGGAACATTTCCTTCTTTTGTTCTCTGCTGTGTTTTCCTCTTTACTATTTATGCTAAAAGACATATGTATTCTCATAAATCATACCAGTTGATCGATGAATACCACACACATATGGAGATGAAATCAGCATTGAGCTTCCATCTCCCACCCTCATCCTGCTCTTGTCTAACTCTGCATCGCTTCAGGGTTGGCATTTGTTTTCCCAGGATTTTCAGTGTTGTTTACTCACCAGCTCCGTCAAGAGGCAAGCATACCATTGCCACATAAGGCTAAAGAATAATGAGTTGACTGACGGTCACTAAACAGTGACTGACTTGAATCAGGTTGCAATCTGGGAGACAGGGCCTTGCTGCTGTAGTGTATCCATGTCCCCTGCAGAAGGGTGACAGTGACCTTCAAGACTCCAGGTGCTGAGCCCATAGGTTCCGACTCCCCCATGTCTAAGTTCCTACCCAGTGGGAAAGGGGGAGACACTCAGTGGTTCTCAGCATTGGCTGCACCTGGCTACGGAATCACATGGGGAAGTTTCCCCATGTACTGATGCCCAGGTCCTATCCCAGAGGCTCACAGGTGGGGCATGCACATCAGAACTTGGAGAGCTCTCAGATGGTTCTAATATGCACATATGGATGTGGACCCTCGTGTAGGTGGAAGAGAGAGCTGAGGCAGCGTAGTCATTGAAGACAGGACAGTGAGTTGGTGGTCAGCAGGTAGTGGCAGTGTGATGTAGACAGCATGGAGCTGGAGGAGGTGGTGTTTAAGGAATGAGGCTCTTTTCTAGAAAGCAGAAATCTAGCAAATGCAAGTAACCAATAGAGTAAAATGCTGAGTACAAGCGCTGCCTTTCATGAGCCAGGTTGTAGTTGTTATCCATAGGGCAGAAATGTTACTGACTCCCTGTGGGTCCATTGATAGACATGAAAGAGGACCAGAGGATTGGTGGTTTTGTTTTATTTTGGTTTTGTCTTTCATTTTCCCTTGAAACTTCTGTTTTAACTGAAATCCAAAGACCTGGTAGTAGCACCAGAAAGAAGTCTTAAGTGAGTTTGAATGTCTGTGAAGAGAAAATAATCCCATTTGGAATACATACAAAGAAAGCATAGTGAATTTCTGATCACTTGTCTCTGAACATCATTCTTTTTGATGCAGCTTTATCGTAGTGACAGTGACAGTTCAACACTTCCCCGGAAGTCTCCCTTTGTCCGAAATACTCTGGAAAGACGAACCCTTCGCTACAAACAGGTATGTGCCATATAAACCAATGTGGAATTTATACTTGCCATAGGAGTTATTTTATAACCCATACAAAGTAATATTTTAGATGATACTTAAGGTCATATTAATTAAAAGGTAATGATATTTTCATTTTCTTGTTTTTAGTATATAATTTTGAAAGCATATATATTATGTTATCAATCTTAAGACAGTATCATTTCACCTAATTTGTGATCTTCTTAGCTGTTGAAAGGAATGAGCAATAATTTCTATGTAATAGTTACTTCTTTTTTTTGTTTTGTTTTTTTTTGTTTTTTTTTTTAATTTTA